CTTGTACGTATGGCTAATGTATCCAAACCATGTCCGTAGACCCACGAACAAAACGCGGGGGAAAAAGAAAACGCTGCAAGTATATAGACTAGTCTATAGCTACAAATAACAAAAACATTAAACGCCACGAAGGCAAAAAAAACATCCGAAGCTGAGAAGGGAGTCAAGCTCAACAGTCGAACCTGTCAAACAAATCGAACCTGGCAAACAAGCCGAAGCTCAACAGCCAAGCTACGGCTGTAGCAAACGAGCCGAAGCTCAAACGACGGCAGCGTCTACAGCGGAGAGCCGTGAGCGCGGGGGGCAGCACCTTCAGATCACGAATCACGCAACAAAACGTTCAGAACTGCATGCAAGGCCCCAAGGGCTTCAAGTCTAAGCTCAGGGTTCAAGCTGAAAGTAAACAATCGACGGACGGACGCGAGAGGGAATCGCCTCCCTGCGCGCAAGAGGCCACCGAACATAGTGCTCCAAATATCAAGGGTCACGGAGGCTGACCGTCCCGGGTGCCAGAAATGGCAAAGCGGCTCGCTGCTGCGCTTCTGGTGGACTTGGAAGCTCTGGTGGGTTGCTGGTTTGCGTCGTGGTTACTTTGATGTCAGCGAGGACATGGGAAATATGTTCTCATTCGAAAAGCAGTTGATCCCGAGTTCAATCGCCGAAGAATCTTGAAGCGGCTTGAAAAGAAGATTGGACCCAGAGCTACACAGGGCGCCCCGGTTGTCTAGTGTGGGTGGCCTCGCAGCCTTTTAGGGGCCAGGTCATGGGTTCGAGTCCCGACAGAGTGAGTTTTTTCTCACTAACTAATTAAATTCTGGTGTCCGTTGGAAGCGACGCGCTGAAAAGCTCGTTGTTAGTAAATTTGATCGATTTCGTAAGCTGCGAGGGAAGGGTGTGCTGTACCCTTCCTTCTCGCGATAAAAATATCTCAGGCAGGAACAGCAGGAGGGGGTCTTACCCTCCCCCTATGTGACCCCGATTGGGTCGTCTAGCTGGTAGAAGTGGAAGATAGGGGCCAGAGGGGCAGACGACAATCTCCATTAATGGGAGTCAAAGAAAAAAAAAGTACAGCAACTGATACACCACCGTCGCCCAACACGGAAAAAAACTAAAATTTCTCCAAGACGCGCTAATTGCGGCTAGGGAGCAGGCGGAACCCCGCTTGAAATATTTTCAAACATGGTCGCAGCCCTGCCGTCAGCAACAAGAGTTAGTGGCGGAGGAACCGGAATACCCTTTCCTTCAGCTACAATAACCCAAACCCAATCGCAAACCTGCACCATAAGCTCGAATGATTGTCTCCTGCGAGCGTTTGTGAACTTCGGCACAACCATTCCCACAAAACCACCCCAACACGAGAGGCTACAGTACAGCACACATTTAATGCACAACCTCGAAAAGCACCGAGGCGAAGTGTGCTACAAAATACCATACCGCAATCAAGCCCTCGGTACTGCCACAACCAGTGATTTGGAACGTATTCAGTGTTGTCCGTGTAAAAAGTAACCCGCCTCTCCGTTGTGAGCCACTACTTAACTAGGAATACAGGAAAAAAAATCTGTCTCAACCCCATGGAGCACGCTCTCTTTCGACCGCTTCGTCATCAGAGTAGTAAGGCATCACCGGCTTTCCGGCGGTCAACGCTGGCGGAAACTCGTACCGGTCCTGGAAACAATACCAGAAAAGTCCTCAACAGCTGAGCGGAACGACTCGCTGTCCTGTGTGCGGGCAGTACTACTGGCAATGCGATTTCCGCTGTGTTCTTCAAATTCGCTGCTGCTGTGTTCGACATCGAAACCGACAGCCGCTGAGCTCACCGCTCGTGGTAGCAGTAACTCAGTTGGTCGGGTCGCAGAGCAAGCCATATTGATGCCCTGCACTACTACCGCCAAAATCATTGAGACGTTCATGCCCAACAGAACTCCTCCATATAAATCTTGACTCTCACTCGTCCCATCGGTAACACGTTGCTCGAGTAGAAAGGCGACGAAAATACTGAGCAGCACGATCACGTGACCGGATCGAGAAGTCCAAGCCTCCCACTTGCTGTCGTACGGAGCGAGGGCTTCGAACAACAAGGCGAATGTGCACGCCATCACCAGTGTCACGGCTATCTGTCCCGACTCATTGGGAAAAATGAAGACAATAACACCTGTATGCNGGGCTGCGTAGGCGAGCGGAATGCCGATCGGGTACACGAAGATCATCAGCCCCGCGTATATCTCCATCGCCCGGTGTTTGGAAGAGTCGCAGTCGATGCGATAGTCCGCACGAAGATATTCCTTTCCGTCGTCCAGCGTTTCGCAAGAGAACGTCTGGAATATGGTCGAGGAAACTGGCGAATACACCAGGAACGATACCCACAAAGCCATAGACACGTGCTTCCGGCGGACGTTCAGGAGAGCCTGGTCATTAGAGCGATTTCGACACCGCGCCACGATATACGTCAACCCTAGGATGGCCAAAGCCACCAGTGGCCCGACCGTGGATGTCACGACGCGGTCGTGAAAGTCAATATTGACGAAGCATCCGGCGGACAGCATCCACCCAAAGTCGAAGCCTAGGAAGGCGGCCCCGTCAAGGAATCGCTCGTAGACGTCAGGGAAGGACACAGTGGCGACTGAGGCAAGCTGAACACGAGCAACAACACGGACGGGGCAAACGGGACATATTCGGAGAGCATAAGAGAGTATACCGGGAGAGAACGCACATAGTTGCTCTTGCAAGTAGGTATAGGCGAACAACAGCCAATTTCACGGCGAGTTAAGGTCCGTCGCTCATTCTTGGCGCCCTCAGGATACTCATGGGAATCAGTGGGTTAGGATACAGGATCCAACATGTGACAACGGGTTACAACGTCAAACACGGCATCAATTCACAGACACATTCGACGAGTACCACGATATGCGTAGGGTAGGGCAAATCTTGGAACCCGCACCGGAAAAGCCACACAAGCGAATTTAGTCGTGAAATCTGCATGGCCGTTGATGGAATATGGGACCAAGGGTCTACTTGGAAAAAAAACCGGAAACATGCCCCCTCCCCCCCCCCGAAGGGCGATTTCGATTTCAGTGGTATACATGAAATATAATTGGGGGAATTGTTCACGGAAATATGTCATTGTTCCCCCTACTGCAGAGGGATTTCTATCCAGGGTGCCCCTTACGCGATTTTAAAGAAATTTGAGCCCCCATCCCCGCACCGGACCCTAAATTTCGATTAGAAGTCCTATCAGTATGTGTCTTGAAAAATGATTCACATAGACCCTTGATGGGACAGCAGTACTGTAGGTCTGACGGCGGACGGATACGCGGCGACGATCTCATCTAAGATGGCAAAGTTCGTGTCTATCGATGGGATGAATGGGAGCCGGTCTGGCGGGGCCATATACCAGACAAAACCGCATTGAGTTCGGCTCTGGTCGGCGGGTACACGCCAATGATGCCCCACAAGCGCAAAAAATGTCCCAACAAGGGGCGTTCTTCGGTTTGTCAGTATATTTTGGGGTGAGTACAGCTACGAGCGGCCGGGGGATGGGGTGGGGTGGGGTCGACCGATATCAGTACAGGTTCAGCCCCCCCGCAACGCTTCTCCTTACCTCGGTCAAGATCTGCCAAACAACGATCATGATTTTGAGTGACTGGAGAGGAAGAAGCTGCTTCAACCGATGCCATGGTCCCGCCGAGGGAGCGTCGCGATTGCGCTCGTTCGACACCATGTACACCAGCAATATCAGCCCCAGCATCACCATAATTGGCAACGCCACCAGCGCCACCACGGTTGCCTTGCCATCCGAGCAGTTGCTGCATGTGAATGACAGCGATTCGGCGAATCCATCGCTGCACACCGCACAATCTGATACACACGGTAGGGACAAAAAAGAAAAGAGCTACTTGTTATTTGACCCCAGCGCAAACAAAAGCAGTGAGCATACGTCGGCATTGCATGCACCGCGCGAGCACAAGGCTGGGAAGGACGCAAGCACCTGGCTCGCGCGTGCAGCTCACGCTCTTCACTATACCAGGCACTTCCAATAATCTACCTGTGTCGGAGAGAACTCAACTCGCAGTGTACGGACCAAAGTCCCACACCGCCGTGACGCACATGAACCCTCGTAGCCCTCAGCACAGTAGTCGGCAGCCCCAGTTTCTCCGCCCGAGCAAGCGTCCGCGTTGTGACAGGCAAGAATATTCCGACTTGAAGGGGTTGCACGCCAATAGCCAGGGTCGATCGAGAGAGTTTCGATGGTGTTGCCCGTGCTCTGGGCGTGGTCAGGCGTGATTGTGCACGTAGGGACTTCGCTGCTGTCAGCAACGACGCAATCGTTGCATTCTTCACATCCAGAACAGACGTTCGAGTATCGATCACCCTGAGACGGTCACGGGAGCATTGCATGGATGGAACAAACGGCGAACGTGATACACTGTGTAAAAATGATCTCTGCAGGAGGATCACAACAAAGTCTCGTGAGCGTAGAGCCCTACGTCGTGTGTCGAATAAGCTCAACTCGACAACTTGGCGAGTACCAGGCTCCACGGGTGGCTTGGCAGAAGGCATCGCTCTGAATAAGCCAACCTTTCCATACCACCCAATCGAACGCAGCCGTCGAAAATGCCAATTTCACCATACCTGCATCACGGTTGGCGGTTACACACTTGCAGACTTTTGCATGGGTCGTCTCACTGCGCTTTGTGCGGTGGCGCCAACATGGGTACAGAAACACTCGTCAAGGGGCGGACCGGTGTTTCGTGTAAAATCCCAACCAGCACCATAACCTTGTGGATAAGAACCTCGACAAAACACTACACAGATGAACGTAAACGTCGACCAATTCCTGGCTGTGAAATGAAGTTTCGTTTGATGCTGACTTCTTGGTGTCCTCCCATTACCCAGATCGGGAGGGATTGATACCACCTTGAGATGTTGCTATTCTGGCGTCCTTCGTTTTGTGTTTTGGTAGCCTCTTGAAGCGCCTCGACTAGTGCATTCATCGACTGTCTCGTTTGAGTAGTACCGGCCGAGTCCAAAGGGAACGGTGAACGGTAACCATGTTGACATTTGTGCAAAAGGCACGCATAATACATACAGCCAGCCGCAGAGCCGGAGGGTATCGATCACATTTTACAACAAGAGTAACAAGAACTTACATCGACGAAGTCCAGGAAAAATCCTGAAGGGCAGACAACATGGTTGTCGGCGAATGTACAGGCTTCTATGCCGTCCATGTAGCCCAAGTTGTGTATCGCTGGTCCTCCTTGCTCGTCTGCATGGTTGTTCATGAACAGACAGTTCGAGACCGACATTGAGCCAGCGAACCTCGCGGCACCCCCTTGACTCGCCGTGTTGCCCAAGAAGGTAGAATTCAACACCAAATCCTTTCCAGCAGCGCTCTCTATCGCCCCCCCCGAGGCCGTCGCCCAGTTTCCTGTGAAATTACAGCCAGTGTACGTCACCGGAAACTCCTCTCCGGTAGCCAATACGGTCGTCCCCGATCCCGTGGAGCGCACAGCCCCCCCGATCTGCGCCGAGTTTGAATCGAAACGTATTCCGCTAAAGGTCGGGCCTTCCCCAACGCCTGTGAGACAGACGGCCCCGCCGGAGGATTCAGCAACATTTTGCAGGAACTGTGTACTGTCAGATGCGAAGGAAAGGGATACTGATCCGCTGATCATCAGGGCTCCACCACAGAATTGGCACGAGTTATTGAAGAACGAAGTGATGCCGTCGATCGAAATGATGCTTTCGGTCGCGTCTGTGACACTGTTCAAGGCCGATACCACGGCGCCCCCGTGCAAGTCAGCGTAGTTTTTCGAGAAGTCCGTCCGTCCGGTCATATTTACCTCCGCGCCCTCTCCTACAAACAGACCACCACCAGATTCAGATACAAAGTTGCCTTCAAAAGCTGTCTCTCCACTCCACGCTACGGAAGAAGAGGTACCACTGACATGAACCGCACCGCCATTCCTTGCACTGTTTCCCTCAAACCTGGTCGCTCCAGTCCAAACAACAGACGAAATATCTGTCACGTAGAGAGCGCCCCCGTCCTCGCTAACATTGTTCCCCACGAAGGCTGTCGAATTGGACCAGGAAGCACTCGAGTACCACTCCAAGCAAACAGCGCCACCGCTCGTTGCTTGGTTGTTGGAAAAAACTGTTTCTCCGGTCCATGAAAAAATGCCAGTGTCATTTGCNCCACTCCAAGCAAACAACGCCACCGCTCGTTGCTTGGTTGTTGGAAAAAACTGTTTCTCCGGTCCATGAGAAAATGCCAGTGTCATTTGCGTGCAAAGCGCCACCGCAAAAACACGCCTCGTTATCCTCGAACAATGTACTCCCACTCCAGATTGCCGAGCTGTTCGAGTCCACCGCCACGGCCCCGCCGTAGCACACCACCTCACGGTCGACGGCATCGACATGTATGCGGTTATCAATGAAGCTCGTCTGTTCGGTCCAAGAAACGTTGGACTCGAGTATAGCATTGATAGCTCCGCCGTAGCTAAAGCCACCGTTGTGGCCGAAACTGTTGATTTGGTTGCCGATGAAAGTCGTGTTGCCGCTCCATGACACGGACCCTGCACTGCGGATGAGAATGGCGCCTCCATCCCAGGAACATGAGTTATCAGCAATAATCATGTCACCGTCCCAAGACACGGCCCCGCCGTCAACGAACATCGCCCCCCCGTGCTCATCGGCCGAGTTGTTGACCAATGCACTACCCCCGCTGAATGTCACCGTTCCCAAGGCACTAAAAATAGCCCCACCTACGACGCCATGTCCGTTGGAGAGTGTCATCCCGTGTAGGTTAAGAGAAGAGTTGATCACGCCGAAGATCCGAGACTCTCCGTTTCCGTCTGCAACAGCTGGACTCGCTGTGGTGGCCACCCCTGTGATGTTGACAGTAGTTCCCTGCGATATCCACAGTGTCTGGGGGACGAGTACGCTTCCTCGCCACTCCACGTCAAACGTGCCCCCCGTGCAATTGATGGCGTTGGCCAACTCGATGGCGTCGGCGGTGTTCTCCACCAGCCATTCCCTCGAAAGGTCAGGAGCGCAGGCCGTGGTGTTCGTCACACACTCGGTGGTATTGAAAGACGGGTCTAGACAGTCAAAGCGTCCGAGACACATAAACTGTCCCGGTTGGCACGAACACTCGCAGCAGTCCCCCCCGTCGTACCCACATTCCGGGGTGTTGTTATCTGGGATGCATAGTCCGTTACCCATACTTGGCGGATACCCGGTGCAGTCCTCGAAACCCGGATAGCCGAAGTCGACGGCAAATGGGTCGACACACTGGCTGTTATCTTCGGGGCAGTAATCGGTGGTCGAGACGATGCATGTCGACGGACAGCAATCGCCCCCATCGTAGCCTGCCACGCATGGGTCGGCACACCATTGCGAACGACAGCAGCAAGAAACGCCTGATTCGGTCACTAATACCAACAGCTACACACACTAGAAGTGTGAAGTTCTGGCGTATCGAGTAAATCTGGGTACATAGTGCCTTCTCGTTGTGAACTTGTTCTTGAAATGACCCGAACACTTACATGTGTACAAATGCTCGCGAAGGTACACGCCCACAAATCACGGCGACAAAGAATATACCACAAAAAGCGGACGTCATTTTACGTTTGCGTCTTTCTGCGGACAACGTTATCGGAACTGCGATGTAGTAGGGGTAGTGATTCGGAAGCCTTTCGCGTGCCGGTTAACACACTAGCATTACCGTAAACGTGGGAGTTTCCCCCCCCTAGTAGAGTCCCCCCCTCCCCCAATACCTTTTCGGCCTGGAAGCATGGTTTACTTGATGTAGCCCCGGTGTAGATCGTTTTCGACCAAAAAAAAATCCTCCCGGGTATTTCGATTTCCCCCCGGGATACCTGTTTCCACGAGTTCCCCCCGGGGGAGATGTATTTTCCCTATTTTCTGAGTCGAGTTTGTTGCATCGCGGAGCGCAAAAAGCATGATATGGTACGGAAAATTCATTTACAGATCTGCGCTTCGAGCGAGATTGAGGAATACCGTTTGTCGCTGGAAGGCGGGCTCTTCCTCTTGTTGGAATCATTCGCGGGACGAGACTAACCCCCCCAGCTGTTGTCCTCCTTGCTGTCTATTTCTCCTCGCCTCCGTTGCTCTTACGTCCCTCCTCTCTCTGGTTGTTGAACGCTTGCACGTCAACCTTATGCATCTCAGTTTCGCCACTCTGTGTGTCTGGTGTGTGGACCATCACTACTTTGCACAACCTCCCCGGGGGGGGGGGCGTCCCCCCGGGGTAGCGTCGTAAAAAAAAAAACTATCCCCCCCCAGGTAACCATACTGGTGGTCGAGTAGATCATGTTGTGCGGGGTGGAGAACCCTCACTCCGCGCAAGGGGGATGATCGCACCACGTTGTGTTATATTGGTCAAGCACCCTCGAGGCAGTTACACAGTGCTTACAACTGTCTCTGGAAGTGAAAGCACCAGAAAGTAAATTTATTCATACGCAGCTGTCATCCGTACGCAAGGAAGTAAGCACAAGATGCCGAANAACGATCCTCTCCCCGGGGGGAAAACTCCGACGTTTACGGTAGTCTACTTGCTGTGCTGACAGATCAGTCGAACACCCTCACCGCATTCAACGTTGTTGTTCACTTCGTCACAGATACCTGAGGGAATACCGTCGATGTCCATATCGGTGTTCGGCATGTCATGGGAAAAGCAGCAAACAAGGGAACAAGACGAGCGTGGAAACGAGTTCTCAGCATGGCATGCCTTGCCTTTCAAGAGTTTTTTTTTTCTTCTTCGTATCAAATCAGCCCTCACAGCACTACTAGTGCCGTTTGCTCCAACCCGCGGTCACACAGAAGGGCCCCTCGCTGCCCTCCCCCCCGGCGGTACGTTACCTTCGATTTTTTCATGCGAGAAGAGTCCAGCACTCTCTTCCCTCTGTGTACACACGAACTATTTAGCGCTATCCACTAGGCCAGGAGCGGAAGCGAGAGAAAAACTCACTTTGCAACTACAGGTCGCTTACCCCGGGATTCGAACCCCTGACCTGACCCTCTAGAAGGTTTCGAGAATACCAACTAGACCACCGGGGCGACCATTGGGAGTGTATTTTGACTGCGTGGCTCTGACACGTCGAGTTCACCTTTGCCGTGGCGAGTACTTGGATAGAAGCTCTAACAACGCTCTACGGTCTACCGTCCTTAAGTTTGGCCGCCGTCTCTACCGTAAGTTTACGCAAGTTATCTCACCGTCGCTAATGTAAGGCAAGTTTCCTGAACTAGCCGTACAGTCCGGGACGTCCTCGTATTGGTAGTCGCTGGCCGAGGGGTTCAGGCAGTGCCGCGTGTCCTCTGTACACAGTCCAGCACTTGACACACAGGTGCTCGGACAGCAATCGCCCCCGTCGTATAAGCAAGACGCGATGTTGTTGGAACTATCGCAAACGCCATCTTCGACAGTCGCTCGGCTTCCCGTGCATAGCTCATAGTCCGTGTAGAGGCCGTCGATGCTCCGCGATAGACTGAGGGCACAGCAGACCGCGACCACGAGCCTGGTAATAGACCTGCCGGTGGCGCGACGCTTCATGAGTACCTTTCAGGCACCGATCGGTGTTTCCTCTTGTCGCGGATTCCTCGCCAGATCTCGGTGCTTTCAACCCACCTGGTTATTTCGCATTGTAACAACGCAGCTAGATAAGACCATCGGTATTCACATTTCGCGCTGTTTCAGAATGTCTCCCTCGACATCCCGCACAGCTCCACCCTTCTCGCATTTCACTGCTGGGGTTGCTGGATCGCACGTTTCGCTCAGGTGCAGGAATACCCACTAGCACATAAACTGGGCGTTGGGCGTTGTACACGTTACAGTTGTGGTCAAACGGTCGTGCAAAAACACCGAGCTTGTGGCAGATGTGTACCTTACCAATGGATCGGGATATACTTGATCCATTTGAAGTTCTTTTCAATCAAAGCTGCAAAATAAGCGTTTTTGCGGCTTGGGTGGTGGACGTAACCTACTCCAGATGGTGGCGTAATTGCAATGGAGAGTTCGTTAGGGATGCGAGACCCATATTCTGAGCCATTTGTGAACGAGCGCCTCCACCAACTTCCAACACGAGAACGGCTTGACATGTAGACCAGAAAAATGTTGCTGTAGAGCGGACAATAGATGGCGCTCGCAATTCAGAACTAAGCAGTGAACAAATGCATTCTCGATATATATAAATTAAAGAACTTGGCCATAAGAACACGTGCTCAGTTCCGACGTGGTACGAAGACAAGAACCCGCACTTGTGGTGGAATAGTGCGCAAACAGATAAGCACAGACCCCCGAAACGCGGCAGCTGCAAGATAAGAACTCATGAAGTTGGTGAGGGGTGACTCACGGGGTGTCCGGTGGCCCCACCCACCGGCAGTTTCAGATCAGAGCCGAGGAGGGGGGTCTCCGTTTGAGTTAGTACTGGTGCCGAGGGGGTGGGTGGGGCGGCGTACTCTTATGTTTTGCATAACTTAGCGTGTAGACCATACACTACGCGTCCTCGAAACGACCCAGTATTGCTCCCACAGGACCGAAGACCGATGGCCAGTCGTTCCTTCCTACTTTACCAAAGGTGTCTCAATCATGTTGTCCCGAGCCTATCTATCCTATCAACATCACTTTCCGCCTCTTCAACCCACGTTCTATGCCTCAGTACAGCTACCGTCTTCTCCTGGCTATTCCATGCCTCAAACACTTTCCTGTTTCCTTCTACTTTTTCCCAACTCAGTCACGTCCAATTTCCTCTCCTTCTTGTGCAACAGCCATTCCGCAACTACATGAACCATCGGTGCGGAGAGGAGGGGAGGGGGTAGGTGCTTAGCTCTGCTGTACAAGGCATACCCTTCGTCGTGTGACATTGGGGTGCCCGCCACGCCATGCAGGAGAGCCACGTGTTGATCCCTTGAAACACAAAAGGAGCTCGGCCAACTGTCAGTTGAAAGGAAGAGGTTTCATTTCGACCTTCCTCGCTCTGAATTCAAGCAATATCTCATTTCTACACAATCGTGAAGACAAGGCAAGCGACCGTACCTCTTTCTTTACCCTAGGACCCAGCCTCTTTCAACTGCTGGAGCTCCATTATATCTCGCGTCGTCTGCCAATTCTCGGGGTAAGCTAGCATTGGACGCGGCGCTGTACTCCTGTTGTTGCTTGGTGTTTTCTCTTTTTTTTGTATTGCTTGTTGCTTGCAATTTTAGGTCTCATCAACTACGAGAGCTTGTTTTGAGTGCCCCGGGCACTCAGGGATCGGATGCCTGCCTACGATGCGTTTGCCGCGAGCGCACGTGAATGGGATCTAGCGACGGATTCTCGCATCGGAGATGTCTCAGGTGTAGCAGGAGACTTCTCGTATGTTCGTCAACCCCCTCTCGCTCTTCTCTCCGTGACTTCGTTGCACGAGGTCACTTCAGTAGCAGACCAAACTTGTTCACGGCAGCCACAGGTATCCGCTTTGTGCGGTCGTGCGCGAGATGATAGCATGCTTCCCTCATCCACTGCCGAGACCGCTGTTGAGCCCGCATATCGCCCAGCATCTGCTGATTATCCGGTGGTGCTGTCGGATTTGACTCCGCACACCGCCAGTTGGCGAGCACTTGCTGTGCACCATTTAGGTGTGCGCCACGCCTTTCGCTTCCCGTCTGTTGTCGTGAAACGTGACTGTACTTATTGGGACATTTTTATCTTTGAAAGCCGTTGAGCTGGAGCAACACCTCCCTCTCAAACCGATGGGCGTGAGTGACCAAACGCACACCCCCTCGCCTCGTATCTGAGCGGTTGGCCGCGTTGCGCACTTTTTGGTCGGGGGCTTTAGTGTCTCCGTCCGATATAGGTTCTTTTGTGCTGGCGTCCACGTCCGTATGGATGTGGAGCAAAGACATTTTGAATGCCTTTTCTACTTGGGTGACTCCGCTCAAATTGCCGCGCTACTCTTCCTGCCGAACGCAATTGGACCGTTTTGGATTTGGAGGCTGGTGGCATTGTCTGGGCTATCAAACGGCTTCGCGGATACCTTTGGTCGGCCAAGTTTGTCATGTATTCTGATCACAAGGCTTTGGAGAGCATTGGCAAGGTTGGCGAACACAATGTTCGTGTGCAACGTTGGTTGGAGTTTTTGTCCAACTTCACGTACACTTTGGCATACAGGAAAGGTTCGGCGGATGGCAATGCGGATATTCTTTCGAGACTGTCGTTGCCAGCGAGAGAGACAAGTCCTGACAGCATCGACGGTATTGACCAAGCGGGTGTATTTCTCATCCGGGCTCGCGGGTTCACCCAACATTCGTCTTCTTCACCGCCGCCGCCGCCACCGCCGGTGCTGACCATCGAAGCAGCGGGGCAAAGGTACGCACAGACGACCGAGTTCCGATACCTGGGCGGCCTCGTCAACGAGCAGGGCGACCTTACCCGAGAGATCAACCACAGGAGCAAAGCAGCGTGGGCGTGCATTAAGCGATACGCCACGGAGCTCTTCGACCGACCGGGAGCACCGTTTCGCCTCAAAGCCCGCCTGCTCCAGGCGGAGGCAGTGGAGGCACTGCTATACGGCTGCATGACATGGTCCCCACGCCGCAACCACTACGGAATGCTGCAGACGACACACCACCGGCTACTCCT